TGCACCACCATGCCACACTCCTCAAGTATGCGGAGTAGGTGAGTCGTCATTGTTGGTCATCTGCCTTTTTAAAAAGCCTTGGGTCAGCTCCTGCTGCTCTCTGCTGCCGGAGCTGTTAGAGGCAGACATTCTTCTGATCATTTTGACCAGTACATTTGTAATATCCTTTGTCAGTTGTGGAGAGTGAGTGATGTTATGTCTATAAAACCTGAATCAGGGTACCAAATCCTGCTCACATTTGGGCAGGCAGGTTTTTCCATTTGGTGAGTAAATGTCAGAGGCCTATCCCCAACATGGCCGGTAAATGTTTGTGCCAGAAAAGCTCTGTAATTTAAAAACTATGCAGAGTTTTTACCGTGCTGTGGAGTAGCTGCAGCTTTTCTCTCCTGCCTCTCTGCTGTCCCCATGTTGGAGCTACACGGGGACAAGTTGAAACACTGATACACACAAACACACACACAGGAGTACAGATTCCCTGCTGCAACTGGCCCGCTGCCTGCTAACGTTACTGTTAGGTTACCTAACTAGCTCGTAGGTGGCAGTATTTACAAAGTGTCAGCCAACAATCCTAACTAAAATGCATTGCCACCGAAAAAAAGGGAGAACAAACCAGCAGGAGGACATGCAAACAGAAAGTTTAGTGAGAAATGGAGGTTACAACATCTTCAAATTTACTTTTATGGTACATTTAAAAGTCACTTTCTGAGATTTTATTTAGGCTTCAATTGATTACCAATCAATAAGAACTTCAACATAAAACCTTATCTTAGTGAAAGGCACTGAAATGATTGCGTATGTGTGACACAAAAATTGAAATTTATTGTTTTGAAAGGTGAAAAATAGCTTTGGCCAGTATTTTGGGTTCGTTGACCCGTGACCTTGGCTATCAAGACAAAAGTTCAATTCGGACCGTGCTGTAAGCTAACACCAACCATTAACGCAAACCTCATCAGAATATCAAGTTCTGACCTCTTTCCGAGAGACGATCTTTAATGGATGTAATGTTTGTCAGCAATGCTTACATGGATGAATAATGATCCTTATAATCATTTAAGGTCTGCATATAAACAGGCTACCTTGACCCACTGAGGTCTTAATGGAAAAAAAATGGTTTTAAGTAAGGCACTTGAAGATGATGTGTTGATTAACCTCAGGAAGCCCTCACAGCATTCCATCAGCTCGCTGAGTGATTTTTATCAAAATTGCTTCAGCAGATTGTGACGTAACTTTCACTCCAGACGCTGTACTCTGTTTTGTTTTTGTACTGCATTGGATTACATAGTTATGCGTTTATAGTATTTCTGCCACACCTCCCCCCCCCCCCCCCCCCCCAACACCACCCAGTATTGTATTTCATCTACTAGTCCATTTAATTCACTCAAGCATTCAAACCACTGCTCCATATTTGTGCGTCTCTCCGTCTCTTGTCAGACCATTACCTAACCGAGGAAGACATTTTCACTCACTGCACTTCTTTGTCCATTTTGTCTTTCCCTCTTCAATTCACAACACTGACGAGCACCGCTTACATAACTGTACTACTCCAGCACTCTTCCTCTGTGATTTAATAAGGCCAACTAATCAATGTGTCCTGTGTACGTAACATGACTCAGCTGCCTGCTCTGAAAATAACCAGATTTCTGTGTCCTGTTCTCAGCGTTTGCTCTGGGAAAGCGACACAGAACTCTAATAAGCTAATTCAGTTTATAATGTAAGCGTTCTATTGTATTTCAGGGACTCTTCTGGTCTCAGCCTAGTTAAGCTGCATGTAAGTGCTTTCTTCTCACTCTACATTACCATGAAAAAAATGCAAAAGAAGTGAGTCTTTATATAGTAACAGGGACACAACAGATTTCTCTATTGTCCTATTTATAATCCCGGAGGGAAGGGGCAGTGAGGTGCTTTAGCTTGCACTACAGACAGAGAAAAGGGGTCAATGTAAAGATGGTCAACAAGCTTGTTCGTTAACAAAGAGCCGCTAATACCAATCAACCTTATCAGCTGCGGAGGTTGTAAAATGTACAAGAAGTTAATTACAGCCATTCAGACCTTCAAAGTATTCTCCAGCTTATCTTAAAAAGGACTGAAAAGCACAGCTCAAAAACATCAACCCGAACTGAGCTCAAACTAACGACTGTATTGATGTTACTAAGCTCTCTCTCTACAACGTACAATGCTTTTTCTTTAATGCATAGCTTGTTGCAGTAAGGCATCACAACACAGTGGCATCATGTTCCTAGTCCGTTAAACACACATTTCAGACTAGTCCAAAGGTAAGAAAACACACTCTGGAAGCTGTCACAATTGAGCATATTTAGTTTTTATTGTCTGCAGGTAAACAATGTTAATTGATTTGCCAAGTGCGGCCAACGCTAGCAGTGGTAGCCTCGCCAGTCCTTAGCTTCTCCCTGCAGGTTTACAGCCACACACCTGTGCTAAATGTGGTCATACACCGCTCCAGTTGATACGGCAGTTTAACCTAACACAGGCTACATGCATTTTTATCTAAATTTTATACGTCAGTACACTAACAGAGACGGGGTGCTCCTCTGAGTTGCTATCTGTTCACTGTGCTGGTTTACGTCCTGGTAAAAGAGCGGGAAGAGCATGCACTAATCAGAGATACAGCTCCCACTAGAGGCAAGTTGCTGTGGTGCAATTGTAACATCAAAATTTGACCCGCAAGGCGCACACCCCAATTCAAAAGTCATATTTAGAAAAAGTTGTGTTTTGCATTGAGGGAAACAATGTCGGTTCACTGTAAATACATACTGTGGGCGTGGGAGGCTGGCATCTCTACAATTACCACAAAATGCTTGTACATGTTCTATGTATGGATGTCCCCAGTAGCCAGTATTCTTATGCCAACAACGACAGGGAGACACTGGCTTTTGTTTCCTTTTCTCCACTTAGCCTGTCATTTCAAGAGTAGAAAAGGGAAAGGAACCAACAAAGAGAAGGTTTAGCATCTACTATTTGTATTATCCCACTCAGAAATGGACACAATGGTCGAAACATCTTTTAGAATAAAAAAAAAAAGTTGTACTTGTACAGATTTGTCATTTTAGTCAACACCTCTATGACATAAACCAAAACAACAGGCAGCACAAAATGCAGGAAATGTTCCAAGATGGGAAAGGAAATTTAAGAAATATTTGCACATAAACAAACCTACTGAAATCGCTGTAGTATACATGCCAGGCCTGTAGTTGGCGGTGTGACTTTTCAATGAAGAACACACGCATGCGCATACTCGTTCTTCGGAAGAGGTGTAAACACAAAAATGGTTAACACACAACGTTTGTGTGGATGGACGATGAGGTGGGGAGATTACTCCAATTGACCAAAAGCAACAAAGGCAGTACATGTCGAGAAAATATCTCCATGGAGTTGTGCAAGCCGCAGATTTTCACATACAGAACTCAAGACTCTGCCATTGTTATTTAAGTCTGCCTACTCCACCTACCGGCATGGCTATTGACTGGGACCATAATGCACATGTACAAAGAGCCTACTTGCAAATGGCCCGTCATGCGCATAAGGTCTCCATTTTCCGAAAGAACAATGTTATACCAGTTTACACGGTTGTGGAAACGTGTCATTCTCAAAAATTGCCCTCCTTGGACCTGTTTTATAAGCTTCCGTTTTCTAGTTTCCAAATGCCGTCGTCATGTAGACGAACAGCCAAAGCTAAACATAAGATTGAGGTTTTTTTTGGATGAAATCGTTGTCGTGCCTACAGACCCTCCGTCTCAATCTGATTGCACAATCAAAAACAAAGAGCATTGTTTGTGTTGTAATACAACACATCCACCGCTGACCAATATATTATATAATGGATCCAGCACATCTACCTCACTGGGACGCCTTCTGATACATTATTATAAACATAACCTACTTTCAACATGAGCGGTAATATATCAACAATAACACAGGCAGAAACCTGTGTGGGTAAAAGACTGATAGAAGACATTGTGTGTGATTTAAAAAAAGATAAATAATCTCAATTCAGGCCTAATAATACAGTAACCTAATTAGCCTGTGAATCCTGATTCTGGCCAACCAGATTCAGAGTATTTCCCTTATCTGGGACTGGTACATTGTGTCATTGAGTCGAGCTCCACAAGGTTGGCAAGTGGCCCGTGTGTGTGTGTGTGTGTGTGTGTGTGTGTGTGTGTGTGTGTGTGTGTGTCACCCCTCCACACATGGCCCATGGCTTTAGAGTAACCAGCTGCAGAGCACTCTAGTAAGCTTTGAATAAGATTCACACAGAGATATTACAATAATATATAATATTTGACCATACACTTGAGAATAAATAAGAATCTACTCTTTACACAAACATTATTCTCAGCTGTGAGAATATATCTATGGTCCAGGAAGACACAAACAACTCCACCAGGTCAATAAAGTATTAGACACAATGCTTGAATTGTTCCCCAAAAACATTTTTGCTTTTAGATTAAAAGGTTTTTGTGTGGTTTTCTTTTTCAGCATTAGTAGCTCATTCTAACTCTTATGTATCAGAACAGTTTTAAAGTGTATTTAAGTGAGAAGTAAGTAAGATTCATCCTAATGTTTAATTTAAAAAGTAGCCTATAGAATAACTAAAATAAAGTAAAAGTAAGGTAAAGTTGACTAAAACAAAAGCATTGTTCAGTCTAAACAGTAAAAGCATGAAATAAATATATAATGTATGATGGGTGCATGGTTCAGATTTAAAACTACAAAAGTGGTGAAAGTGGTGTAATTCAAAAAGCTAACAGGAGTTGCAGGAAGGAAGGGCGCGCGAGCTGCCCTACCGACACGTGCACGGTGTGCGCGCCTACTCACGCGCTGACGCTGCCCATCCCCCACACCCGACAGAAAATATAAAAATAAAGGCACAAAACAGCGCAATAACCCCGCCAAACCTCGTACACACAAACACGTGTGACCACTCCACCCGCGGGTATCATTTATAACGTCAATAATGGCGTAAAAAGAGGACAAACACTCACCGAAAGCTCCAAATCACACAAGGGGGGTGCCTGCTCCTCTGTGCTCCTAATGTGGAATCTCCTCCTCCTCCACCACCGCTGTTTTCTACCTCTAATTAAACCTCGAAAAAAGCGTTATAACGGCCTTCAGACCCGGCCATCCGGTGCTTGGAATCCCCAATGACGATGTGTTGTGGACACACGGGCACATATGATGATAAATCCCCTTTAAAAACGAGCTGATGGACAGTGGGGTCTAGATTGTAGGCTTGCGCGCTAGTAGAGAAAAGAGCCAAACGGTTCAGTAGCAGCCAACGGCTTCAGTCTGAAACACAGAGCAGCTGACCCGCCAGGAGAAAATGAGGTAGGCCTGAGCTGCTCGCTGCAGGAAGCACACTCCAGTCACATAAACATCAAAATCGGTGTCGCAGTGTAGAAAAGGATGTTGTTGTCGGGCTGAGGTTATCGTACACATATCAAGTGAAATAAATTGTGAAAAAAAAAAATATCTCAAAGAATTATTTATTCATTTGTAGAGTCAGTGTAGGCATGCTCATTTTTTAATTTAAAAGGAAGGTGGAGACTATTTCTCTTTTTTTTTATGTTACATATTTTATTTTCAGTGTTACAACAAAATAATGCAGTATTGTTAATGATTTTTGTTTGTACTATTGCTTTTTTTTAACATTAAAATGGCAATAGGCTACTGAACAATAACAATGAAAAGCTTCACCCCTCCCCCACCAAATTCTCGAAACGTTTCACAGCCATTTTACAGAAGTGAAACTGCTTATTAGGCGCAATCCATTAAGAGTTGAAGCAATGCTGCCAAAAGTAAGCCTAGTAGCTATAGACCAGCGGCGGTAATGCCAGCACAATGACTTCTTGACATGATATTTGCATTTCTATTCGACACATTTCATCTTCTTACTTTAAATTATGACTTTGCAAATCTTTTTTATTTTCAAGTGAATAACTGGGGGAGATGTAGGTTGTCACGTTACTGTGTTACATTTTTTTTTTAAACACAAGAAAATAACATGTTTTCAGATCAGTTATGAATCAGTAATTAATCAGAATCTTATTAGTGGATATCGATAAAAGAAAAACTGTCTTCATTACTGTGTGTGTGCGCCCCTTTCATAAGTCAGTGTCCAAGTTAAACCACCCCAGTCAAAAAAGTCTGGCTCTGCCACTGCCCATAGGCTATGCTGTATTTGACTTGTAGCTGCCACCTGCCAGTACCTCTCAGAAAATGTCATTTATGAGGAAACTAGCTATGAAAGACTGTAACTCAGTTGAGCCATCTTTAAATCTCTGTACATTCATATTGATTCTGCAACACTGTAATATTAGGGTCAGACAGTACAGAGGGGGAAAACTAATCCAAAAGGTTCACACGTGGGGGGCCTTTTATTTTATTCCACATTGCATTAAAAGACTTGTACAGGAAACATTACTAGTGCGTAGCAAGATGCATACAGATGTTTATTGTGCAGACATAAACAATGATAAATAAATGAGTACTCTATTCATGCAGGTTGGCAGAAACTGCAAACTACTCTCATCAACATGCACACACACACACACACACACACACACACACACACAACAACGATGGGCTCCAGCAGAGACTCACAGGAACACATGGACAGAGAGCCTTGGGGTAGAGTATAAAGCTTTAGCGTGGCTGTAATAGGAGAGTGGAGGATGGGTAATGACTTTTATACAGGGGGCAGTCAGTGCATTTCCTCAGCCTGTATTTTCACATGCCTGGGGAGGTTTGTGGTACAAGAGGGTTCCTACTATTTTGAGTGTTGCTATCGTTTAACTTTGTTTTTGTTTTTTTGGAACACTTTTCCGCCTGCTTTTGTTTTGTTTTCGGGAGGGTATGCTGCTATGCCAGCAGTGGTAAGTGACTGTGATGTGTTTGTGGCCCTTCACTGCTGAATGAATGAATGAATGAATGAAAAGAGAAAGAGAGATGTAGACTCAGTTCCAGTGAGGCAAATTGTCAAGTGAATCACCTCAGGGGGAAGCAGACCTCTGTCGGGGTAATGACTTTCTGGGACTCCACCACACACCATCTAAATGCAGCGCTCGATTTCTTCTTCTCTGCTAGCTCGGCAACAAAAACACCCCCTTCACCACTAATAAAGAGTTTACTCTTTGTAAAGTATAAGGCAGGGTTTTAAATAATACAAGTTACCCTAATATATTAAGGTCTAATTCCATGGTTTACTCCTTCTTCAGGGTTTCTGACAACAGGGGGTCATCCCTATGTTCCATCAGCTCCATGTGCCCTCATTGTTAAATTGAAATTCCCCCCTCCATCAAAATTAGGCCCTTTGTTCCCTCAGGCCTACATTCCCCCAGCATCAGGGCTTGCCCTTCTATAATGCACACAACGTGTTGTTGCTAAGGGAACCTAGACACACTCCTGACAACAGCGTCCAATATTAACTACAGGAAGCAACTGTTTTACCGTTACCAGAAAGGTGTTTTAAGAATGAATGACTCTTGTCACTGGCTCTGCATTCCTTATACTGAGAAGGTCTATGCCGGTTAAAGGCAAAACTGATTTTACAAATAAACAAACAATCAAGGAAAAGCAACTTGTGCATAAAAATAGTCTCTCTCATTCACCACTTACTAACTCACTAGAAGTATATGGAGGTATCTGTTTCGTCTAACATCCTGTCCTTTGCCTGTTTCCTCTTGTTGTATACGGTTGTCAGTGAGCATCAAGCTTTGGGTAGTGGGTTTGTCATATACACACATTGTGCAGGGTGTGAGAGCAGTTTAAAAGAAATGTGTGAAGACGATGCATGGTAATAAGTGTTGTTGGACGGTGAGGAGATACGGACTTTGAATGTTGTGTTCACAGCAACACTAATCCTAATCATTCTGCCTCTAAAGCTTATTAGTACCCAGTGTTCAGGAATGGCCCATTAATCCATTTACATTAACCACGTAGTAAAGTTTCAGTTACAGAATACATTAAAGGCCACATATTATAATCTTTTTAAACCAGTTTAAATAACTCTCAGAGCTCCCCAAAACATATCTGTGAAGTTTCTTGTTATAAATCCACTCTGATCCTGTATTTGATCATGTCTATAAACCCCTCTATTTCAGCCCTGCTCAGAACAGGCTGTTTCTGTGTCTGTACCTTTAAATGTAAATGACCTGTGTCTGACCACGCCCCTGTAGAAGGGCTTTGGTGGCTCGGGCTTTCTTGCACCATGCACTATTGTTTACGTGAGAAGGCAGACTCAGAGAGCAAAACAAACACCTAGCTGTGGGAGTGTCACCCACCTGGGGGAGGGGTTACTGCCCTTTGTGATGTCATGAACGGGAAATCGCCAAACGGCCTGTTTGAGCACACATTTGAGACTCTATTTAAACTATATGATCTGTACTGTTTGCCTAAAAATTACGATATGTAATGCCTCTTAAACAACTGGTGCTTTTGATATGAAATTATAGTAAAGCCTTTGAAAACTAAATACTGATACATTTCAAAACCATCATTGATGAAACTTACATTTATTTGTAAAACCTGATTATAGAAATGAAATAACAAGAGATGAAATCATAAACCACGGCATCATTACAACAGTAAATATATTCATTTCGTACTGCACTCAGCTTTTCTCTCTGTTTGCACATTGATGCATCTGTGTGTGGAAGTGATGAATGAAAGATATACAACACATCCACTTACTTAATCTTCAAGTCGTTTGTCGCAAAGAACACACAACACAGGACTCATGTCATCTGATTTAGCCAGGAGGTATTAAGATGACAGTCTGTTGTTTCCACACATGTTTCCCTGGAGTTGAACTGGAGGGGTTACAACATGTGACAATGTAGTTTGGAGAAGAATCGGATGATTGTCTCTTCACCTGTGTAACTCTTTACTACTTTTGCATTTGCATAAAGAAAATAAGTAAAATGGTTGTGAGAAATGAGGACAGGACTCTATACAGTATGTTCTACTGCCTAATGTTCTAATGTTTTTATATTGAAGAAAATAAAGTGTTATAATGTATTCATATAATATTGCATATAAGAGACATGAAAAACCTCCTTGATATGACAACAGGTAGCATTGATACAAATGGCAAACATTATCTTACAGAGTCGTATAGCTGACTGCCACTTTGTGGCTTCCTTCTTAATAAGTCACGTCTTTCCTCCCGAGACCCATCCCCGATCGATACTAACAGTCTCCCTCTGTGAGGAACGTGTTTAAGCCCAGATACAGCAAGGGGATCGTCTGTCCTAGTTGGACCGTCGGACCGGTCGTCACCCTAGTTTTTTGCGGTGTGTCTGACTCTGTTGCTACCCGCCTGCCTTTTTTTGGCCAGTTCGGCATGTTGAATCTATGCTGTCACACATTAGTGCGGTTTCTCCTGGTCTGACTTCTCGTATCATAACAACGGACTACTGCCGCCTGCTGGCCTGGAGAGGTGGCCTTCGTCGCCACTAGTTCTTTGCCGTCTGCCTGGTGTGTCAGGGCCTTTTAAACAACCAACTCAGGAAGATTTCAATGCCTGAAATTTGCTTGAAATTGTCAGGAGTGCATATGTGAAAATGGCTTATGAGAGATTCAGTGTATCTTGTACAAAGTCATTTGCTCGTATTAGAAAGAAAAACACAGATTAGTGTAGCTTTAAGCTCGTACTTTATTTGCATTTGCATAGCTGCAAGAGTTGACATTTCCCCATGTCATACCAGGGTTTGTTTGCCTGTAACCCAGTCTTTGACTACGACTCCACGTGAAGTATGCAGATCTGCAGTCCATTTTTTTTCTCTGTAAGATATTCGCTTCCTATCCAGAAAATTGCTAAGCCACTACATACACACCCGGACATACACGCACACCTTCTCTGCCACTTTTCTCAGTCATTGCACATCTAACAATAATAGCCTCGACCTAAATCCATGCCAGTGTTGTACTGTATCAACTTCAAAGGGCGTGTAATCCTTCACTTCACCTCTGGCATATTTAGTGCTCTGACAATGACAAGGTCTCAACAAAGCACGACTCCATAATATGTCTTCATAAGACCTTACAGGAAGGCTGCTCTCTACCAACGGAGCTATAATTTTCCTTCTATGGTGGAGTCTGGAGGAGCATGGCTGGCTGTTTCTGTTAAGAGATTAAATTATTTAGCAAGGCAGAGTAGAAACAGAGTAAAACATATTGTGTTTGTGTGTGTTTAGGGTTTTTTTATGTGGAAGTGCAATGGGGAGAAGAAACTCTGAAAGAAATTACTTTTGCCCTTTGTGTGTTTGTGTGTGTGTATGTGTGTGCGTA